AGGAAAAGATTTTCAAAGCTGAACTCAGTCTGGTTTGAAGCGTCGAGCGGTATAGATAGATCTAACGGAGTGAGAAAATCGGAAAAGTGATTCTTCTCTTGGTAAATAAATCGTTTGGTAAAAGTTTTTTTTGGTAAATATCATCTTGTGAGTTAGTAATAACAATCAGAAATTTTCAACCTATGTATTTATTCATATTTTTTATTAGAACAATGGCAAAACGTTCAAACACGAATGAGTCTCATGATACAAGTAGTAGCGAAGATGAGCTCCAGATAGACGTTTATACAAATATGTTAGAAAGACTAACTGTAGAAGGTTTTCTCCTACAGTTAGTCTATCGTTTTGATAGCAGTGATAGTGATATCGTCCAAGCAACAAGGCGACGAGAGAAAGAGTTCGCATAGATAACGATTACAACAACAAAACAGAATTATAAAACAAACAATAACAAAATTATAAAAAATAAAATATTGATTTTTTTGCAAATTTCTTGATTTCTGCCAATTCATGTAAGTCCAATGTCATTATAATATATTAGTTAGTTCCAAAACCATACTAAATAATACGAGGGTCTGTAAATGCCCGTTTCTGTCGAAAAGTGGCGCTGAGTAGCTGGTAGCCAACGTCCAGAATGGTACGGAGTGCTAAGGGTTAACTCGTCAAGTCAAGTGTCGGATATTAACTCCAAAAATTGTAACATTATTGTAACCCAAACTACTGAAACTAAAATTTACCATTGGAAATATTCATCCAATCTTTCCTCTCTCACTCGCACGCATTGCCGCTATATGCGCATCCCGAATGTGGGATGCACATTCTATTTCACTCAACCTTGACGTCACCTACAGTCGACCTCTGTCACCGTTATCAGCCAAATAACGTGTTAGTTACTAATGGAGAGTCCTACGTGGAGCTAAAGAGGGGTATGTTGCCCTCGAGAGTGCAGCCTAAAGTCTGCCTATCGGCGTTTGCCCTGGTCTGAAAATCGTTGCCCACGCGGGCAAGTTGTTGAACAGGTCTGGTCTAGACTATAACGACAATTACCAATCGGTTTGTAAAGTAGGATTTTGGAGTATCAAATCGAAATGAAGTATCAGCGTAGGATCAAAACTGTGCTTCAATCAGAAGATGATTGGATGAAACAAAACAATATATCCATGAATTGGACATAAGAGTCGCCATAAGCTTACTAATAATAAAATTCGCTTTTATTCTTTATGAATTTTGTCTCTCTTGCAGGCTGAGGAAATACCAATCGAGAAAGTTTGCGTTTTAGTTCTCTACACTCTCTCGAAAATGATCCAAACGTTGATTTATGCCTGGCCCGGAAATATGATCACTTCTGAGGTTTGTATCACGTATTGCAGTGCGGAAAACGCATCATAAAGTATAACAAATAGCATAACAACATCACATTATATATTATATAATATTATATTATTATATAATATTATATATAATTATATAATATTTTATATAATATTTTTTCTTTTGAAGAATAAAAGGAAGTCTCATATTGGACGAACAAGAACTGTAATATCAAATCGTGCTGCCAAATCTAATTATAACATGGGGCACGAGATGAGTCGTCTAGAAAATTAACACAATAATAGATGAAACTATCGTTTAAAATGTAAATGTAAATAATACTAGCAGCAGTGCCTCTAAAATAGAAATAAAAATCTCTATTTGTCCAAACCTCGCGCATCGACACCTCGAGACTTGATATTGAGTAACGTGTACTTTCAGATTATCAATAAAACGATATCTTACTACTTCTTGTTGGTGACGCTTGATAATGATGAATAACGGAGAGAATAAAATTTCCTGTTTTTGACGATAATGTGAACGAGAGCTAAGGTGGATACAACTTGGAAATATATCGTAGTACAGAAAATAAATCACCAAAGCTTGTTTTGATTTGACACAGTGGTAATCTTCTGTTTGATCAGAAATTATTTAATGACAGATCCTTCTGCTTTAATCCTCCGACTACTGAAGCACGGCCTCCTGTGCCGGAACCATTTTTGACTCACATTTATATTCTACGAGTACACATTTCGACCATTTCCACTTTTGCTCGCCATGATTCCGGCACAGTAGACGGAAAGTTAAACCAGAGTGAATACCAGCATTTAAAACCATGACTGACTCGTATCAATTTTGGTAATTTTTTACGAGATACTTACTCATTTACTCACTCTTGTAGGGGAGTTTTACGATGGAAAAACGTGTTGGCCCCACACACACAAATGAAGCGGTTGTACAAACGCTGCTCATTGCGACCTACAAAAGTTATTCACCGATTCTTGATTACCATTTCAGATGACTCATTACGCACATTGCGCGAAACTTTCTCCGACCCTTGAAGAAATATTAAAAGCGTAGCGATTGCCGGCAGATTAATCAAAATCTCAAGAAATTCAAATCGTTCAACTTACAAAGTGCAATATCTGCTAGCCCTTTAATAAAAATTCTATGAAGTTCAAATCGTTTAAGTTTCCCGTGCACATTCGTTAATGCTCTGCATCGTGTAATTTACAAAACAGCAGAATGTATCTGGCCTAATGCATTATTCGACTCTGTGAACAGCTAAAAAAATTGAAGGATGATGGAGTAGTAAAGGCTCGATTGATATGCTTGTAATCAAAGACCAAGATTGAGAGTGATAAGGGTAGTTGCACAAATTATCGTGCCTTTATTGATTGCGATAAAATTGTTCGTACACCTTCATTGATGTCAAAGAAGTTGCCGTTATATCAAGAGTACTACTCTTCGGGAAGAACGACGTTTTTTGCCAGGAAGTTTACTGCAACAACTGGATGAGGATATAAGTGCTATTACCAGTAAGCTCACGCTCACGATACTGATCAGAGATCAGTGATCCTGAAGGCGTGCAGATTAATGGCGGTTACTGTTCATCTCTTCACCAAGGTTGAGTAACCTCATTATTGTATAAGGTTGTCTCAAAAGTTAATTCTATTTTTCATTAATACGCAGAACGTGAATTTGTATGTATGCATGTGCTCGTACTATTCAACGACAACTTAATAATTTTTAAGATCTAATGACTGCAAATGTATATTTTCAAATTATGAATAGATTTCTTTTCGGTAACGCTTGACGCTGGTAAATAACAGGAGGAAGTATAGAAATATATTTTCTGCTTCCAGAGGTGTACACAAACGTTAGGATTATTGGGTCTTTCCGTGAATGAAATCCATCCATCACAAGAATCTTCCACCTGTTTTTTTCTTGTTGATAATATGACGCTACTTTTCGTTGATTTCATGAACATGTGTGTTTATTGAACTTATTTCAGTAACTTCGAGTATTGTATGCTCTCAAATATTCTTAACATTTCACTACATAGTCCTGTATTATGGTTTCCCAACTTGGCAGTATTACTTCTTACATTTATTGAATAAATAGAAAACAAATATAAGTGTTTGTGAATTAATATTTCGTAAACTTAACGTTAATCTTAGGTACTTTATGATAATACAATTTCCAGGATCGCGTCGACACTTTCGACATTGTTAAGCGTAGCTTGATTCTTAAATAAACGTGAATGTACGATGTTTCTGTTTGGAATTCGTTCTTTAATTATAAATAACAATATAAACTTTTTCCCTATATTTCATAACATTCTCGTGCTTCTAAAAGGCGAGTGATCTCGCGGTAAGAAAAATTGTAAACTTCTCGTTTCGCGATTAGAAAACACAACGGGTTTAACAGACGACCAGATTCAACAGTATAAAAGGTAATAGGCTACTTAAATTAATGTTTGGTAACTTCTATTGACTATTCGGACTTTAAGCGTCGATTTCTAAAACTGCATCGCGCTTTCCTCTGAAACAATGATCGTATAAAAATTTCCCTAATTCCGCGAGAAATCTCGACGAACGGTAAACGCTCCATGCAATTTTAGAACGAAAACTTAACGCTAGCCACGGATTATTTTCTTTCGTATGAAATTCTATCTTCGGTATGAAATGTACTGTTCAAAAATGATTCGATGCGACAGTTCTACGTGTGCTACATTTCACAGCTTCTTTATGTAGTTCGCTGGAAAAAGTCCTGTCCTTCCTTTCAATCTTCCCTGCCACCAACCACCTTCGTCTGAAACAGACAGTAATTAATTGGTGAGAGACTACACAGTTATTGTTATTATGTATAAAATTGTTAAGATTGTTATTGTCACAAGATCACTCATATTACTGGATTCTAGCTCCGTCGTCTAAGTGTTAAATAATACTGTAGTTATAAAAGTTTTTAAAAATCGTTTCATAATCAGAAGATCAAATTGGCGAAGTAAAGATTTTACGAGAAACAGGGATCAAATAAGAGAAACTTACGCTCTTTGAGTATTTCAAGGATGTCACCTTCCTTCAGCTCCAATTCGTCAAGATCCTGCGGATTGTAGTCGTACAAAGCCTTCCCTTTTGGTAGACTAGGTAGAGCTGGTTTTTGCGGTATCGGTTTCACGATCGAGGTAGCACGAGGTGCATGCGCTCTTTGCGGTTTCTTTAATACTGACTTGGTGTTGTTCTCATTTCCCGTTTGCATCTCTTTATTGCAACCCGTACTGTTGTCGGCAGCATTCGTCGAGGGAAGTTTGAACGCAGGCGACATTGTTGGTGTACCAGGGGGTGGGGGTTCCGTAGGCGGTGGGGGAAATCTCAAGAAACCTGTTTCATTAATTAATATGAGGGTGAAACCTCGCGAATTGCATTGGTATAAATCCTCTCATAATCGAGACATAACAAAACTGCCGACAATTATGGTACTTTCAAAATTAACAATTTTTATTGTATAAAGTCTGTGTTAATCTAAGCTTTTATCAAATTTCATTTAAACGGCTTAATTATTTCCAATATCCTTAGCATGGTATTTTTCTAATTTTGGTTTTATTATGACCCAAATATACAAGATGAAAAATATTAATGATTATCTCGAAACCTTGAAAAATGGGATTATAAGAAGAATTTCTTCTTTATTATACAGTGATTGCTCCCACGAATCTAATCGTGTTTATAATTAATAACTTTTTTCTATTATCAATACACGTTCAAGCAAATTGTCTGCACTGATTTCATGTTAAACATGACTATTTTTGCAAATAGAATAGGTCGAATATTTGTTACTTCAAATGTTTCTTACTGTGAAGAAAATGTGTGTGCCAAAAATAAAACAAAATTTTACCAATTTGTGCGTTCAAAAAGTATTTTGAGGATATAGAATAGTCAGGTGACGTTCCTGCACTTATATCGAGCAAAAAGGGACTATTCATTACTGTAAATATAAAGAATAGATGATTCTTGCTGCATTTTGCGTAAGGTACGAATCATTTACTCTTTAAAATGTCAGAATAACGCCATTACACGTAGTGACAGAACGCTCAAACTGTTCGTCAAAATCAATTGTCGGTAATTTTCTCTGTAAGCTTCAGCGTTTCACCACTACATCTAGTGGCTCTAAATGTAATTTTTTATGGGTCTTGCCCAGTGGCGCCACTACATGAATTGGCCCTGTTCAGACGTTATACAGCAGAAAATTCATGCCCGATTTTACATCAACTTTTATAGGGGAAGCAGCACGAATCATTTGCTCCGATATTTGATATGAGAGTATCAAATAGAAAATCGTTTATATCTAATTAATTACAACATAAATATGCGAAAAATTTAAATAGGTACGTTGTTGGAGCTCTTTTCTGGACCATTTAATTATAAAAGTGAAAATAAATGCAAAATCGTATCAAAAAATCAATAAATCGTGATCTTTAGTTCGGAGAAAAGTTATTTCACTATCAGGATATACTTTGAAGGCATCTTGTAATGCTCTTCCATGAAAATTAGTTAATACTAAATTTACTATAATAATAATTCAGTCTTATAATTCTTACAAACACGTACCAAATACTTTTAATGCTCGTTAGGTGTAATATCAATTTATAATGAGTGATTGATAAATGGATATTCACACAGAACTTACCCCTGGCTGCTCCCTTCGGATTGGTGAACATGCCCATAAGTGGCATATTACTTTCTATCTTATTTGGCTGCTTAGATAATTGGGTCTTCTTTTGTACTTCTGTGGTTGGTACATTCGTACGTGTGACTGGTGTAGGTTTTGAGGGCCTGGGAATCAGCAAAGCGGGCCTTTCGGTTGGCACACCTGGCCTAGAGGGTGTCTTTTCATCATTGGTCACCGTTTTGTACACATTTGGAATACGTTCCGCATTTGCTGGTCTTGGAGCCGATCGCGTTGGTCTCATCCCAGTCATTTGAGGAGTGGACGATGGGAAATTTTGATGCGGGTGTACGCTAGTACGTTGGGCACTCGGTTCTGAAATATTGATGGAAATGTGCTAATTAATTGTGTGTGATCGGAACTAATAATAATACAATTATTAGCAGATTGCGGATCTTTATACAAAACAAAAATTGTCTTCGCGAATTGCAAGATGCTGAGAACTACATAGATATTTGTTTCTATTCATAATGATTTTAACTAGTTTTCAAGAGTACAAGAATATTTTCAAATTCTTTATATATTCTTGTTATTTTGAATTTCTCTGCATTTCTCCCCAGCTTTCTCAAATATATGTAAAATCTACAGTTTATTTATAACGATAGAAGGTGACACGATATATTCAAAGATGTAAGAAACAACGAACTCGTAGTGTTAGGCAATCCTGGGCCAATCCACACGTTCAAAGTCTTCCCGCTGGGTTTCAAGATTTCCTTATTGCCGTAATCAACTTGCGTGAATATTACTTGTCTCGTCCCTCCGCCACCCCAGCCTTCTTTCTTCACTTTAAATTCTAAACTGTAAAAAGGATAGTATGAATACAGTGTGAACAATCTAGTCATCATTCTTATCTTATCGTGCAAAAAAAAATCGTACTTGTTACTAAATTTTCTATTCAATATGTGTCCGGTTTCTTCCACATATCTTTTACTCAGTGCAATTAAAAATTCCGTCTTGAATGTCGATTCCAATAAACTGGCGTAATCCTCTTTCGTGTGAATAATAAGAAAATCGTCCTGCAATGATTATTGTATTCTTCATTTGTATGGTTTTTAAATAATGACGGAAACAATGATGGTTTTGAATTCAGCATTTACCTGAAGTGTACTTAACGAGATATGACTAATTTGATTGAATGCTAGTTTACGTTTTATAACTTCTACTAATCTCCCTTTTTCTGGGCCTTTTTTTATTCGCTCGCGCCCAATCAGATAAAGAGATTTGTTGGTGAGAATGAGATCTCTTCTGCTCATCTGTAATCAGCATTTTGTGTATTACTATGTGCGTGTTCAATCGATTGAATTTCAGAAGTCACTGTGCACTTATTTTATTTACAAACTTTTCCAAGATACACTTTACTTAAGAAGCCTAATTTTAAACGTTTACCAAACCGAACAGTGTTTTCCCAAACATTTAACAATCATATAATACCTTGAATCTTCTGTCGTATTTTTTCACCACTTCCGCGAAGCAGACTTTCTCTCTCCGTCCGATTAATTGAATTATCTGCGGTTTGCCTTCTAACCCGATATAATCGCCCATGAAATTCCTATTCAAACTGGCTCGTCTACGTTCCTTATGGCCGAAAAGCAAATCTGCAGCTTCCTGCTTTTGCTGAGCTTGCCTTTTCCAAGCGAAATACTTTTTGAACGCTTTTTGAATCACTCTGGCGTACATGTTATATTTTCGATCCCTTGCTTCCTCCAACATAAATAGCTGTGAGCATAAAATAATGCATTAATATATAAATTACTTGAATACATTCTTCTAACTGTACGGGCATATCTTAATGTATTCATTAATTGAAAAAAACAGACAATTGCGTGCATGAATTGTAACTTTAATTGGCTGAAATAATTCAACAGGATTTTAACAATTCCTTAAATGAATTTATTGTTTTGCATTTTTGTTATAAGTTTAATTACGAGATGAAGAGTTTAGTGTTTAACAGTATCGTTATACCCACGCATTCGGGAAGTTTGATGAACAATTTCATCCTGCCGAGCTGATATTGCGACCGATCAATATGAAGACTTCCTAATATCCATTCCACCCCTTGCTTGTCATCGCCGGACCAATGTGGCCACGTTTGCTTCGTCAAAATTGCATACCTATGCAGGAATTTCGAGAACGGCCTCCTGTACGCAAAACCTGCCCTGCGTACTCTGATGTTCTCTTTTAAACCTAAATATTCCACCTAAGATGACAAACCGAATGAAGTTACCAAATATTTTCTCAATGACTGGAGACAGCGAGAAACTGTTCGATGAATACGTTAAGGATCAGACAAGTTAGCAAGCTTCCCGAAAGGTTTACCTGGTGTTTCACTCTGACTGCATCCCAGTCTCTAGGTTTCTTCGTCTCATTCGGTTTGATGCACCGAATATAATGCGGAGTGCATCTCATCAGCTGATTCACTAATTGACTAGCCTGTGTTCGAATTTTGCTGCCGGCAGTGGTCGGCCTCGATTTAAGCGTCTTTGTTCTCTGAGTTTGGTTCTCTTGTGGATACAGTTTTCGAATCAGAGAACTATAATGTTATAGTCACAATAAAAAAAATACATTGACAGAGATTTGTAAAAATAACGGTGCGCACAACTGTTCGTTATACAGTAATTTCTCCCTGATTCGCACTCGTATTGCGCATACAAATGGATAATTTGAGTTTATAGTTACTGATTGTCAAGCAACTATAAAAACGAGATGCAAGATTCGAATAATCGTGTCTCCTCTTCCCAAATTGTCCATCTTTGTGCACAATCTGTGCGCGAATTAGGGAGAAATTATTGTATTCGTTATCTAAGTGATAGATAATCGAACGAAAATACATTAAACTAAATACGTTAGCTTATTTAACGTTTGCTTATGGTCGCGTCAACTATTCATTAGCGGCTCGATTGATGAGAGTAACTTACTTTGAACTTGTCTGNATGTATTCATTAATTGAAAAAAACAGACAATTGCGTGCATGAATTGTAACTTTAATTGGCTGAAATAATTCAACAGGATTTTAACAATTCCTTAAATGAATTTATTGTTTTGCATTTTTGTTATAAGTTTAATTACGAGATGAAGAGTTTAGTGTTTAACAGTATCGTTATACCCACGCATTCGGGAAGTTTGATGAACAATTTCATCCTGCCGAGCTGATATTGCGACCGATCAATATGAAGACTTCCTAATATCCATTCCACCCCTTGCTTGTCATCGCCGGACCAATGTGGCCACGTTTGCTTCGTCAAAATTGCATACCTATGCAGGAATTTCGAGAACGGCCTCCTGTACGCAAAACCTGCCCTGCGTACTCTGATGTTCTCTTTTAAACCTAAATATTCCACCTAAGATGACAAACCGAATGAAGTTACCAAATATTTTCTCAATGACTGGAGACAGCGAGAAACTGTTCGATGAATACGTTAAGGATCAGACAAGTTAGCAAGCTTCCCGAAAGGTTTACCTGGTGTTTCACTCTGACTGCATCCCAGTCTCTAGGTTTCTTCGTCTCATTCGGTTTGATGCACCGAATATAATGCGGAGTGCATCTCATCAGCTGATTCACTAATTGACTAGCCTGTGTTCGAATTTTGCTGCCGGCAGTGGTCGGCCTCGATTTAAGCGTCTTTGTTCTCTGAGTTTGGTTCTCTTGTGGATACAGTTTTCGAATCAGAGAACTATAATGTTATAGTCACAATAAAAAAAATACATTGACAGAGATTTGTAAAAATAACGGTGCGCACAACTGTTCGTTATACAGTAATTTCTCCCTGATTCGCACTCGTATTGCGCATACAAATGGATAATTTGAGTTTATAGTTACTGATTGTCAAGCAACTATAAAAACGAGATGCAAGATTCGAATAATCGTGTCTCCTCTTCCCAAATTGTCCATCTTTGTGCACAATCTGTGCGCGAATTAGGGAGAAATTATTGTATTCGTTATCTAAGTGATAGATAATCGAACGAAAATACATTAAACTAAATACGTTAGCTTATTTAACGTTTGCTTATGGTCGCGTCAACTATTCATTAGCGGCTCGATTGATGAGAGTAACTTACTTTGAACTTGTCTGCATCAGTTCCACGACGTCCAAAAACAGTACGTCCCGGTTTTTGTCACAAAATCCGTCTACGGAATAGGAAACTGCTCCAGCGTAATGGGACACAGAGAATCCGTCGCTTGTGGTCTGAAAGTGTTCGTGCTTGTTCGCTGCCACTGCAAGTTTCTGTAAACGTTAGCAACATTAATTGAAGGAGCGAACGAAATGAGATACGGCGTACAGGTTCTAGTAAATCACCGTTGCCAATTAGTAGTAATAATGTGGATTTAATAAAAAAAAATAAATAAATCTCGCGAAGTGGTGCGAATTTCTTCCGTAGAAGTAAACGTATCCTGGGTCGACGAACTTATAAATAAACAATGCTTCTCAAAGGCTATGTAGCGCGAGTAACCGGGTGAAGATGATCGAGAATCCCGTCGAAGGAGGACGAAAGCAATGTAAGTTGAATATCATTTCTAATGTTTCATCGAGGTAGAATGCTTTTACCTTTTGCAAATCCGCGTCAGCCCCGGTGCTACCACCATGGAGAGTGGCGCAGACATCATCGAGGACCAAGAAAAGTCCTGGAGGACGCTTGCTTTCGAGAAGTTCGACGACGATTGCATTATTGAAGTACTCTATCGGCGTCCATGTTATATTTTCGGCAATATACTCCTCCTAAAAGCATAAATTAATGCTGTCGTTAGGAAATAACTCAATGTTTCAATGTACAGTGCCTCTTAATTTGTGCAAAATAAAACTTAAACAACTTTTATTTTAATTTTCACCATAAACAGGTTTAACCATTAAGATTTCACTTGCACGTTGAATAAAGGGACCAGCATAAACATTTCAGTGCGTTTTCAGGTTTTCTGAAAGTTTAGAACAATAAGAAATCAAGAAACGGGAGACCTGTTATGCAGATCGCGTCAGTGAAAAGCGGCATTGCCGACGGAGCGTTAATTGAAATTAATACGAGAATATTGAGTGCGCCAATAAATATGTAAATGTCGAGTTGCGAACATTAACGGCGCTTTGAACTGATTCTCACGAGTGACGATGGTTCGTCGTCTAAACAATCTCCTCGGCGAATTAGCGCATCATAACGCAACGATTATGTAAACGCTGCAAAAAGATGGTTAATTGCGTGCCACCGAGAACGCATCGCTCACACGGAAACAATTTCTATATCGTCGCAATGGAAAGGAAAAGCGTAATAACGCGATGCTTAGCCACTTTTAAAATGGCTTTCCATTTTAGGCGGCTAGAACAATTTAGAAACCGGTTGATGCTACACAGACACGAACGAAGCATGCTTCTCGATGGTATTTCAACGCAGTACACATGTTCCCTAATACGTGCGAACAATTCTGTGTACCCTAGAAATGTGAAAAGTGCGGCCGTGTGAACAATTTTTACGACGCTGCCCTGTACCTTTGACCTGCAACTGCAAGTTTAACTTTCGAATTTAGTTTATGTATATTTTCCAATTGCTGTGTTACGTTCATCACTAAAAATAAAATAGCAACATTGTGCATTTGTTCTAACGCTTTGAAAGTAACAGAGCAGAATTGTGCATTTGTTGCAGCGCTGTAGAAATAACGAAAACATCGGTGACAGAAAAATAAATTGTAAGGGAGTTTTTTAAATTTCCAGATGAACGCAATTGTTTGCGGTTACTCGTGTTCGTCTACTCTACGAGCGTATCTCGATTTCCATCGATTCACAGAGCGACTGCTACATTTGGTGGTGTGTAATTGAAGAGAAATAAATCCACAATTATAATACAATGGACCGCGGAGACTTCCATTTTCTGTTCTACTGCAAACCGTAAAATGTCATAAACGATCAAACATTTCCGAGTGATTGCGTACGCTGTTACATGGCTGTTGAGTCACTGCGTGCGGGTGTTTCTTAAGTTTACATTTGCCTGCTGCCGCGGTACCGAAACCAGGCGGAACGCGTAAGAATCCGTTGCGTTTGCAGTTAATTTTAGAAGTTGAATAATTACCGTTGATCTTTTTGCGCGAGTTTTCTTGGTACATCGGGCTGTTTCATTTCCATAATGGCAACAATGCGACGAAAACGCAGATGGAGATTTGTGCCGTGTATGGGGAGAGAATCGTGAACGAACTCGTATATGGGAAGTCGTCCTCGAAATTTCCCTTTGCTTCTTCTAACACATTTATGGCTTAATTGACAATGTCTTAATTGACGATGTCTTATTTGACAATAGCTTCATTGCATACATTTTCCAGTTCATATGAAACTTGTGGAGTTACTTGTGAAAAACGTAAAAATTGCCTTCTCCCGTATTTCGAATTTTTTATTACATTTTCGAGCTTGCTTCCTTGAAATCAGCTACGATTTTCTTATTAGACCTCGTACTGTCAACCCATGAACTGAACCGACTACTGGAAAATAAGAATTGAGATATACCGATGTAAAATGAAGCCTCCTACTTATATATTTGATGGTCTGAATTTAACGTTTCGTAAATAACGAGCTCGAGAGTAATATGCACAACGAGAAATCCAGTTATATGAACATCAGCTACGAACGGAGTAATAAACAAGTAGTGAAAGGCGGGATTAGTGGACTCTCAACCAATTATCTAAATCATCTTGTCCTCCAACTGGTTTGAATGAATGGAGTCCTACCATAAACTGATGATAAGGAAAAGTAGCATGAACGAACATGTCTCATCCAATACAGTCTTCGCTAAAAGTACCAGACATTCCATAAAACAGTGCGTTCTTCTTATACTGTGCGCTTGTCATCAGTCCAAAGAACGCATCCATTGTAATCGAAACCTTACAAGTCTACAACTTACAGACTTCATGGATCAAATCGGAGGTCGACAAATTCACTACAAATTTTGAAAAGTATCAAAAGTTGATGCAACTTTAAGATGTTTAAGAACTTACGAGCTATAAATTCTAAAGTCTAGTGTTTTGCCCATTCTTCGTCGTTCTAAGCTTTGTTCTATGAGCAGTTCAGACATAATTCGGCTGGAAAGGAAACTCAGTTTTTACAGATAAATCACAAGATTGGAAAATTCTGTAAACATTGTGGAAAGTATCAAAATCTACGGCAATCTATCTATCTATCTATCTTTAAGATGAAACAAGCTATGAATTTTAAAGTATGAAGCTTTTCGTCTACTCCTCGATACACTAATTTCCCATAGACAAAAGTAAACATTGGAGAACACAGTAAAAATGCCGAGTGCAGTAATTTCTCCCTATTTCGCGCTTCAATTCTGCACAAAAATGGACAATTTGGAAAGAGGACAATTGTTGACAGTTGTTGACACTGCAAGGCTCAATCTGAGCGAGAATTAGAGAAAAATTACTGCAGTATGCAAATCGACGTTCCTCTGGTATAATTCCGACACGTCTCCCTTTCATCTGTTCGTCGTCGCACGTTGCCCGGCCGGCCATAATTCGTCTGAAAACGGACCCATTGTACCACAACGTTGGTCCCGGTCGCCACAGCGCCGGGAACATGTGAAATTCGCAAGTGTATTCCGCGAAACGGTACGAAAGGGCGATAAAGAGTCATTGTTGTCCGATGATCCGCGTTATTTATTTTCGCACGAGTGGCTTTGTTAAGATCCGCGGCGCGGTGGCCTATCTTTTGTTCGAATCTCTCACGATCCACATCGATAAAGCTCCTCCGCGGTTCCGCTCCGAATCGTGGCTAGACGATCAGAACCCGCGACAAAAGGCGGCTCCGGAGCCGGGCAATTTCGTCGTCTCATAGCTCTCTCGCGTTTTTTCTGCGCGGTCTAGTTGCGGCGAGCATCGAGAGGTGACGGCAAAAGTGGTACGATTCTTTTCGTCTTAGCCCGTGCCCGAGGTAACGATTCTACTTCACGTTACGACGACCTCCTTACCGGGATCTCGGCCCGTTAATGGCACGAACCTACCTTTCTCGCGGTTCCTCTGTTTCCCCGCCAGGTAAACCCAACTGCGACACGAAACCTTTAACCATTGCCGCGGCGAACCTGCGACGGTTCGCGTGCCCCGCAGCTTTCGAAAGCTTTCCGGAAAGCTCGTGTTTCCTATTCGACTGGCGCAGCTGTCTCGAAAATTCCGTGAAATCGGGGTACAGTAANCAGACATAATTCGGCTGGAAAGGAAACTCAGTTTTTACAGATAAATCACAAGATTGGAAAATTCTGTAAACATTGTGGAAAGTATCAAAATCTACGGCAATCTATCTATCTATCTATCTTTAAGATGAAACAAGCTATGAATTTTAAAGTATGAAGCTTTTCGTCTACTCCTCGATACACTAATTTCCCATAGACAAAAGTAAACATTGGAGAACACAGTAAAAATGCCGAGTGCAGTAATTTCTCCCTATTTCGCGCTTCAATTCTGCACAAAAATGGACAATTTGGAAAGAGGACAATTGTTGACAGTTGTTGACACTGCAAGGCTCAATCTGAGCGAGAATTAGAGAAAAATTACTGCAGTATGCAAATCGACGTTCCTCTGGTATAATTCCGACACGTCTCCCTTTCATCTGTTCGTCGTCGCACGTTGCCCGGCCGGCCATAATTCGTCTGAAAACGGACCCATTGTACCACAACGTTGGTCCCGGTCGCCACAGCGCCGGGAACATGTGAAATTCGCAAGTGTATTCCGCGAAACGGTACGAAAGGGCGATAAAGAGTCATTGTTGTCCGATGATCCGCGTTATTTATTTTCGCACGAGTGGCTTTGTTAAGATCCGCGGCGCGGTGGCCTATCTTTTGTTCGAATCTCTCACGATCCACATCGATAAAGCTCCTCCGCGGTTCCGCTCCGAATCGTGGCTAGACGATCAGAACCCGCGACAAAAGGCGGCTCCGGAGCCGGGCAATTTCGTCGTCTCATAGCTCTCTCGCGTTTTTTCTGCGCGGTCTAGTTGCGGCGAGCATCGAGAGGTGACGGCAAAAGTGGTACGATTCTTTTCGTCTTAGCCCGTGCCCGAGGTAACGATTCTACTTCACGTTACGACGACCTCCTTACCGGGATCTCGGCCCGTTAATGGCACGAACCTACCTTTCTCGCGGTTCCTCTGTTTCCCCGCCAGGTAAACCCAACTGCGACACGAAACCTTTAACCATTGCCGCGGCGAACCTGCGACGGTTCGCGTGCCCCGCAGCTTTCGAAAGCTTTCCGGAAAGCTCGTGTTTCCTATTCGACTGGCGCAGCTGTCTCGAAAATTCCGTGAAATCGGGGTACAGTAATTTCTCCCTAATTCGCGCTCAGATCGCGCACAAAAATGGACAATTTGGGAAGAGTAGATGCGATTGTTCGAGCCTCGCGGCACGTTTCTATAGTCGCCGGTTGTCAATAACTATAAAAACGAGCAGGGAGGCTCGAATAATCGTAACTTCTCTTCCCAAATTGTTCATTTTTGTTTGCAAGCTGCGGGACAATCGGAGAGAATTTACTGTATATCAAAAATTGTCAGGGAAACCGAAGCATTCGGATAATAGAATAGTTGCATTATTATAGGAATAAATTAAATCTTCATCGATCCAACTCTATTCGACCGATTAATACTTTCACTGCCAGGTCAGCGATCTCGAAAGTTCAGTAAAATCAAAATATAATAAAATCAAAATACTTCAGTAAAAGATCAAAATACTTGAATCATCCGAAATTATTAGGGAAACCTAAGTGTTCGGATAGTAGAACAGTCGGTCAATTAAAGTACTAGGATAAATCTTTACTGATTTATGCGACGAATAACATTGTGATTTAGTCAATGAAGTAAAAAAATTGCAAAATCGAGTTCTATTATACTCATCACTTTTTCAAGCGTTTTGCGTTTTGTTCCGCTTTGTTTTTATGGCAAACAGCGCTTACGAAACGTGTAAACTGTGGAACGTACCGAGGACTTGGGATTTTAATAATTTTATCATTTAATATACTGTTATCACCCATCCTTCAATTGTGTAAAGTGGCAAAAAACTTCGTTATAAAAATACTGCAATATAGCTGAAAATAATATAATTTAGAGCTGACCGGTCATAAAATTTTTCTTATAACAGCCACTTTCACTTTTTCCACATTCACCCAACGACCGCGCGAATACGTTCCTGCAACTTTCATACATATATCTGCACGCTATAAAAAATGATTTCTATTTTGCAATTGCGCCTATTATTTACCGAGGTTCCTACGTCATCGAAATTTCCATGATAAATGCATTTTTCGTTTCTGCTCCAGTTGCGGCATGTATAAGCTTACTTTCGTGTGTTTTTACATTGTGGGTTAACGCTTAATTGTGTCTACGCGTATAAGTTAATTAGGTCAAAAGGCCGAAAGGTCTATGGGAAACGGTGACTTTATCGTTATGAAACAAGAGAATTAAGGAAGACAGATAATGTGGGAGATAAGCTTGCATTCTGGGTTAACTGCGGTGAAAATTTTTCAGAGAGGATCCATCTCGCTATCAATCATCCCTCAATAAAGATCTCGGTATTGTTGCTTGCTTACACATTCTACTCTGGTAGCACATCAGGAAAAAGATACAGATCGTAATTTCCCAATGGCTGGAAACGTACGTTTTTCACTTCATTCACATGATTTACATCGTATTAATTACTGCGCTTTTCTTACGAATTAATGCAAGATGTGGTTCGAAACAGTGGAATTAATATATACTTCGGTGCGATCTTAATGACGATGCGAATAGTCTCGTGCGTATGCGGTATGAAAAAGGGCAAAATTATGCAACACGTGAAAGACAACTTCGTTCAAGTTCATCACTGTGACACAGACAAACTGCATGGTATATTTTAGACACTTAGTTCTAATTTAAGAAATTCATTTACAACCGTTAAAGTTTTTAACAATTGCTAATTAATTATTATTAATTAACAATTCTTAAGTTATTTTTCTTTTTTATATTTATTATTCTTTATTATTATTTATTGTTTATTTATATTAACGTCGCATCAAATGCAGTGGTTATTAGCGACGACTATTATTTCCTTGTTTTTGGAAACTTTATTATACAATAAGGTGTGTTTTAAGAATGTAATAACTTGAGAGTAAGTTTTGTTTAAGTAATTTGAACGGAATTCGCATAATAGATTTGTCTAATCTCCTATCCGTGCGAGGACACACATTCCATTCCGTTTTCAATGAGTGGCAAGTAAATAACCGCGTTCGCCATTCCCACAGCGACTTTTATAATAGTTGGACAGACATACAACAACAAAGTTTCGCTGACTAATTAGAACCTGGCGAAACGACTTTCCGTTGATAACACAACGCCAAGATTTCAACGAGATAATAACACGTTGCCCATCTCTATGTTCTGGTTTATACAATCTTCGTATCTAGGAAGAGTGCTAACAGCTTCTTTTCCTGATTTCCGTCGATAAGGTATTATTTTGTGAAAGCGAATCGCGCGAAAAAATGTACATCTTAATACGAAAACGGTAGTATTAATTCTAATGGAGCAACATCACGCAGGTGGCGTGCATATGCAACATCTTTCCGACCCATTTAATCTACGTATTTCATAGTTGTTTCTTCCGAGATACGAAATCTTTCTGAGAAAAGAAAATTTAGTAAAAGTATATACAGGATGTTGATTAACAATGATAGAGAGATGAATATATAATAGAAATTATTAATATCGGAGATCTCGATGCAAAACAGTAATTTTCTAAAGCAATCGAAATCATTAAAATCTTCTCAAGTCGTCACAGTTTTGCATTTTACCAAACCAGTTTCGTCGTAATCACGAAATATATATTATTTCGTAATATATATAATAATATATATCCTATATATCCTAATATCCTATATTCTAATATCCTATGTATCCTAATAAATATCCTATACATATATGTCCCAATATATATATATATAATAATGCATAAAATCTGCAGTCTTCTAATAAAATGATGGGTAATTCTAAATGCTGGTCGGCGCTAAGCCGCTTTCCTCCATTTATCATCGATGGAATATCCATTTGTAATGATAAATATTAATAATTACAATTGCCGCGTTCGAAAGTTAAGCACAAAAAAGGAGCCGGACTACAATAAGAGAAGAAAACGCGTCGTAAAGTTTAACCCTAATATGCCGTTTTCCTTTGACAACGTCTTCCGGTAGGTGAATGCTTGAAATTGAATTCTTAATGAACCGCTTCAACCCATTTTCTCAGCCTTGAATAGCAGGATTTCCTGTGACATCCACGTAGCCGAAAATAAAACGAACTTCCACAATTACACTGCAACTGTACGACGATCTTGCTTAGAGATTTCGACGGATAACAAAACCGTTAGGTTCCTCCTCCCAATACTGACAAAACGCTTTAATTGTAACTAGTTCGTACGGTTCCTTACGCATGTTAATTGTCATAACGCGGATCCTCCTTCAACTTGTTTCAGTACAGATTCTATAGCAAAAGCAAGATAGAGCATCCGAAAGAAATTTTTCCGTATTGTATTTCGCATTTTTTAATTATCGACGTGTTGATTCTTCGTGTAACTTTTTGTGTAAAATTCTTCGTGTTGCCATTATTTCGGAAGAAATTATACGAAATTCATCAGCAGATAATATGAAAAGTATATTATAGAATAATTTCACGGTGCGAAACGGAAGAAAGTGCAAATTTCTAAAGAAATTTCATTTTAGCATAGCTCAATCAAAGCGATTAATTGATCGCAGATCTTTATGTACTCATAACACGTGCAGATTCGTAAGATACACGAAAACGTGAAAATTAACAAATGTGAATAGCATTTTATCTTGTTTTTACCATAAATCTTCTCCGATTTGGAAAAGTCGATAAAAATGGTAATGTGCATGATCATCCACAATTTATCAATTTTTATAGATTTAACATTTTGCAGCGTAAAAATTACCGCAAGTAGTGTACATGCATTTTCGACTAAGGTACTCGATATTATAAAAAAAGTCCACTAATGTTTCCTGCAAAAAATTCCTATATATTAAGTTTCTTTAGATCGTTAACGATTATTAACGACACTAAATGACAGCATGCTGACATAATGTATAAAGCTTCTTTTTCTAACATGAAATATTGATATGCACACCTCTGCATCCACAAGCCTCCTCTCCACACAGTTTTCTTTTCCCGCCACTGTTCGTTAACCCCTTGCACTACCATTTGTTTCATAACTTCTTCGCCCATGGTAATTTCCCTAATAAAAATTTACTTTTATTCCTAGAGTTGTTAACAGAACAATTAAATTTCGTTTCGATTTAGAAGAAATGACTAACACTCGCAGTTACTAGATCATGCATGAAATCGTTATCACGAGTCTGACCCGTTGCTGTAGCGCAAGGTATTAGAAGTCGCGCGTTCCGCGACAGCCGAAAATGATTTCGGAACAATCGTATCAGAAAATTTCACGGCGCGAAACGGAAGGAAGTGTACAATACTAATTGCAGCGGTTACGCGGACAGTCGTGAATAAAGTGCAGGGGGAGGTACGCGGAAAGAAAGGTGGGGAACAGACGGAGCGAGAGAGAGAATCAACGTTTCACTTAACCATTTCATTACCTTCAGTCGAGCCTTAGCCGCAGTGCAAACAGAACCGGCGTATGTGCAAGGTGTACACCGATTCCCGTCCGCTCGGCAGACCGACCAAGTGAACCGGTACATTTGCGCGCGAAACATGACTGTTCCTGGCTCCTGTTGTGGCTGTCAAACGATAAATAGCGCAGGATCCGGCAGCCCGTTGATCGCGTCGTTCTAAATGGATTTTTTCGGTCCGCGGCGATTCCGATCTCGCTCCAAGGAAACAACGTCGTTGCTCGAGAAAACTGGGACCGAGTAACGTGAATCCTGCATCCACGAGACAATCGCGAGCGACCGCAGCCTACACCCACGGGATCAATTGACCCGGGAGGATCATATTCGCGCTAACCTATTTCGATTTTCCACCTCAGGTAGGACTGAAACGTTCTGTTCACTAGATTACTCATGATTACTCATGATTACTCATGATCGTTATTTTTCATTTTTCTATTCGTCAGGTCTTTTTGGAAAGCTTTGCCTCTGTTGTTTTCCAAATTGACACATTATACAGGGATTATTTGTATAGGACCTTCCTTTAAGTCCCGACAGTGGGTTTTAGCACATCTTTTTACGGGTACAATGATTTTTATCTGGCAATCATTTTGATTTTAATCACTTTGATTTTAAGCGCTTTGATTTTAATCGCTTTGCATAATATAATTTAATGATTTCTTTTGGGATTATTGCATAAAGGGCTTATTTTTATGTAATACAGTGAAAAGGTTTTAAGTAAAAGGTCATTAATAATGCAACAGCAACTGCTGCTGTATCGTAATGCAACAGTGATACCAATTTTGGTCATGAACAAATGAATAAGTGTGAATTATTTAATAGTTTCACTTAATGTTATGTAACACAGTAGTTCAGAACCGTATTGGTCGATTTCTAAAAGCCATAAATGATTATTATAATACGACACGTTTTTCTGTGAACATTTCTCCTACATATGGCAATAGTGTGGCAAGTCTTGTGAAAATTGAAACCTGGTGCAAATGTTTTCGCTGACTAAAAGATCGTTTATGGTAAGAAATTCTTAGTATTGTAAGAATACAAACGTCATTCTTGCTCAGTTTTCTTGTAGTATGCAAACACGCGAATGGCAGAGGACAGCAGTTTACCGATTACTACAATCACGTTAATAAGTTAATTAAATGGCAGACGATCGTGCGAATTTGCCACTTTTATATGCCAGCATAAATAAAATATCGTTTTGCTTTGCTTAAATAGATTTAAAGGCGAGGCTTGCCAACAGCGAATTTTGTTTCGTCTACTTTCTTCGACAGTCATACAAATTTTAATTGATCAAATACTGGAAATAAAGTTACAAACACTGGTTACAGGAAATATCGATGGAATGAGGAATCCTCTATCAATATTAATTATGTTTTGGCTGGTACGTAGTTAGCAAGTTTTTATTTCTATTAACTGCGCTTAATACAACCTAAACAATTTCATAAGATCTAGTTTACGTTCCCTATCGATTTAGAATTCCTAATTATTTGAAAGTTCTTAATCGTAGCATAGATCGTTGATCTAATGTATTCTAAGGCGAATGGACTATAAAATGATTTTGATCTATAAAAAGCAACGGGACTGGTATGTAAACGTATCTTCAGGAAAACCGACTCATGCCGGATAGAGAAAACGTAAAATAATGGAAAGTGAGAGTTTACGCTTCAATTATTCCGGAAAATAATTAGAATACGTCCCGGCTCATTAAATTTTCCATTGTTCCGCTCAACAATAACCATGACTTCTAATATTCCTTGAAGAAAATACTAAAGCTTCTTTATTAGAATTTTAGTATCTACAAAAGGTCTGTGGTATACAACAATTAGACAGCAAAACGTTCATGGCACTGGAAACAATTACCGAACGAATCATAATAAAATTAAAGACTCGAACGAAATTTGATTATTTTTATGAATATTTTCCTTTTCTTAAAGAGAGATTGTAGCTTCCACGCGAGCAAAGTTATTCGATGTGATTTAAATATTGCGGAATATGATTACTGATATAGTTTACGCATTCGACCAATTGTGCCCGCGGCACATGAGAACGGATTGAACGGAAACGGAAGTCGCGGACATTAAAAGAAAATAAAGCTGTACGTTAAATGGTTTCACGTGGCATAATGCAACAGTCGTACTGAATAAACAAGCCAACAGTATTCACTCGTTCCTGTTTAAAAAGAAACCTTTAGAATGATTGTCCAATGTTCATGTTTGTTGGTAAAATCCTCGACACTGCAAATTTATGTAAACATCCGGACTTTGTTAACACGTAATAACTTTAATGATATATCATCGAAGAAAATTGTTCGTGGAAAAATTTCAATTGAGACGTTTATTTACGAACACGTCAAATTATATACAAATTAAACACATTATTATATATATTCATATTTTATTTACTAGGACCATAAAAAAGGGATAAAATATTTGTTTGCTTACGCATATTTCGGAATACTAAAATTACATACAAGAAGGATATATTTAGGTGGAGAAAATAGTTCCATTTTCAAGGTTCGATGCCATTTGAGTGCTGTAAAAGTTAATTGCAAGTGAAATCAATACAAATGAACTTTCCTTTAAATACCTGCTGGTGTACCTGTCGTAATTAACTTGCGTTACAGGAAAGTACTCGTTATAACTTACTCCTCAGATACTTGAAACGTCAACGAATAGTTTAATTTAATTTTTATAATGAGGCCAAATGATTCGATAAAATGTACAATTGCAAATATGTAGATACACTAATGAATAATTGTCTTCTTTTAATTTATATAAATAGCAAGTGTTTTAGATGTTATTTCTCGTTACACTTTCTTATTAAAAATGTTTATTGATGTCATTTTCTACGGCTGATCAAAGCAGCCGAAGGAAGGAAAATTTCTGGGGTCTAATAATGAAGATAATGACCAGCCAGGTAATAGTTTACGGGTAGTAGTTTCCATCGGCTTGGGAATTGTCGCTTGAAAAATGAATAAATCGGCGTGTTATTTGCGACTGATGGAAAAAAACAGATAATGAGAACCACGATGTTTTGATTATCGTCTAACCGCAAAGAATATTTTACTAGAGTTTCCAACTTTCACGGAAATTAAGTGCGCTATCAATTTATGCATTTCTTCGCGGATGAAGAAGTTGGATTCACGATTCCGGTAATATTGTCTCTTCAAATAAGTAACATCATGATTTTTAAAATCGACTTACACCTTCAAGTTTGCTGATAAACAATCTATTGTTAATTTATTAACAGGATGTTGTTAACAGTCAGCACGGCAGCGATTGGATTTGCTATGAATTTCAATAATACTTCAACAATATTAACAAAGTAATGGTAAAAGCAATATCAATATTTTTGGAAGTTAGATATTCGTCCAAGGCAAGACACGCTTGAATCATCATAATCGTTCGGCATTCTTTCCTAATCATCGCGTTATTATTTTCCGAGCCTTGAAGAAATCATCTACAGGTAATTACGTTGCCAATATAGAGAGAACAATAACTCTTTTTTCACCGATGAAACAATGCTACGCAGGTGTGTCAATGTCAAGACAATTCTACAAAATTACCTTGGAACAGTATAAAACGAATGGAAACATAAAACCTGTTCTACATTCAGTAATAATAGTCCATTGAGAATAGTGATACAAAACACTTTGAATCCTCGCTCGATAATAAGGAAGAATTTTGCTCCGGTTTCTGGCCACCCAGGCGGAAAATCTGTATTTTGTGTAAACATCCTCAATCTAATCGTAATGATCCACAGACTACTGGACTGCAGATCTTTATGCAAAATAATTGTGAAGTATAAGAGAACGTAGAAATTCGAGCAGGGGTTATTTCCACGTGACAAAATTAAAAAAATTTGGTATAAAAATTTTTTTATCCGAGGCTCCGTTTTCAAGAAAATGGACTTTAAAGTTTATTCATCTTTGTAAAGGATTTAATTGTCGTCTATTCTTCTACCGCAGTTGCCTCCGTCCGAGATAGTGTTTACAAATATTAATTGTTGCGAACTACATACTGTCCGTTGCTTAGAAAAAGTCCGCTGAGTAGGGTAAACGCGTTTCCCTTATTGGCAGAAACGATGCCTTCCTATCAGCCCCAAGTTAGCCGCAACACTGAATTTCCAGAAAACGAGGGATTCGAGTTCGGCCGAATAAAAAGAAATAACGCCTTCTTACTCCCGTCACGTCTCGCTCCCCCGTGATCACTATTTTCGACTAGGAGCACAGCAAACGCGTGCGCCTGTGCTTTGTGTGAGTGTGTGTGTATCATTTACGTGATTACGGACGAGCGAGACGCGCGACGGCAGTCAGGAGGCATAGAACAATCAAGACAAAGTGAAACAGGTGCAACAATTACAAGATGGAAGAGCGTTGACTTATCCCTAAAGCAATAACTTCAGATTCTTCTGATGAAAACATGATTNGAAAAATGAATAAATCGGCGTGTTATTTGCGACTGATGGAAAAAAACAGATAATGAGAACCACGATGTTTTGATTATCGTCTAACCGCAAAGAATATTTTACTAGAGTTTCCAACTTTCACGGAAATTAAGTGCGCTATCAATTTATGCATTTCTTCGCGGATGAAGAAGTTGGATTCACGATTCCGGTAATATTGTCTCTTCAAATAAGTAACATCATGATTTTTAAAATCGACTTACACCTTCAAGTTTGCTGATAAACAATCTATTGTTAATTTATTAACAGGATGTTGTTAACAGTCAGCACGGCAGCGATTGGATTTGCTATGAATTTCAATAATACTTCAACAATATTAACAAAGTAATGGTAAAAGCAATATCAATATTTTTGGAAGTTAGATATTCGTCCAAGGCAAGACACGCTTGAATCATCATAATCGTTCGGCATTCTTTCCTAATCATCGCGTTATTATTTTCCGAGCCTTGAAGAAATCATCTACAGGTAATTACGTTGCCAATATAGAGAGAACAATAACTCTTTTTTCACCGATGAAACAATGCTACGCAGGTGTGTCAATGTCAAGACAATTCTACAAAATTACCTTGGAACAGTATAAAACGAATGGAAACATAAAACCTGTTCTACATTCAGTAATAATAGTCCATTGAGAATAGTGATACAAAACACTTTGAATCCTCGCTCGATAATAAGGAAGAATTTTGCTCCGGTTTCTGGCCACCCAGGCGGAAAATCTGTATTTTGTGTAAACATCCTCAATCTAATCGTAATGATCCACAGACTACTGGACTGCAGATCTTTATGCAAAATAATTGTGAAGTATAAGAGAACGTAGAAATTCGAGCAGGGGTTATTTCCACGTGACAAAATTAAAAAAATTTGGTATAAAAATTTTTTTATCCGAGGCTCCGTTTTCAAGAAAATGGACTTTAAAGTTTATTCATCTTTGTAAAGGATTTAATTGTCGTCTATTCTTCTACCGCAGTTGCCTCCGTCCGAGATAGTGTTTACAAATATTAATTGTTGCGAACTACATACTGTCCGTTGCTTAGAAAAAGTCCGCTGAGTAGGGTAAACGCGTTTCCCTTATTGGCAGAAACGATGCCTTCCTATCAGCCCCAAGTTAGCCGCAACACTGAATTTCCAGAAAACGAGGGATTCGAGTTCGGCCGAATAAAAAGAAATAACGCCTTCTTACTCCCGTCACGTCTCGCTCCCCCGTGATCACTATTTTCGACTAGGAGCACAGCAAACGCGTGCGCCTGTGCTTTGTGTGAGTGTGTGTGTATCATTTACGTGATTACGGACGAGCGAGACGCGCGACGGCAGTCAGGAGGCATAGAACAATCAAGACAAAGTGAAACAGGTGCAACAATTACAAGATGGAAGAGCGTTGACTTATCCCTAAAGCAATAACTTCAGATTCTTCTGATGAAAACATGATTATTTGTAATTACTAATTAGCATCTTGATTAACTTTAACAAAATAATCTTGATCAGTTTTTCATTGGATTATGCAGCAAATGATCCTAAGTATAACCGATTATATTTTTGTCAAAAACGTCCGTTGTTCGTATGTTAATAATTTTAAAGAGTTGGATACAGCAGATCGATATTTTTGAATTATTTTAACTATTCTTCTATATTTCATTACAGTCAATAAATGCATAAGAATTTTGCAATTATTTGCAACAGTCATAAATGTATAAAATTCGCAGTCTAGTTATTACTATTCTCACAGTTATGAAATCATCCGTGGAAAAGTATCGATATGCAAGGTTTCGCCAGGTATCGTATGGGAAACTCGATAGCGGACAAATCCGTGCGTTACAGTGACTAGAAACCAAACCCACTTGACAAACCGACTCCACGTGGACTCTTACGTTCACCGAGTGTAGTCGAGTACGTTCACCAGGGCAACGAATGCACTTGCACTTTTTAAGAGAACCTGTTTCCGTTACAACGCGAACCTACATTGAGTGAACCACACCTACTGAGACTCCAGACCATAGATCTCTTTGGAAAGGAGGACCTTTCCGTTACTTTTGCGGGGTGACTAGCGACCCGTAATTACGGAAATTACTCTAAGATATTTTGCCGATCGACCGACCATTTCTTGTTCTATTGCGGAAACAGAAATGGCCGTTCGATAAAACGAAAAGTTCACGATTCTTCAATCGAAGTCGCGCCGACGCATGGGATAGTGAATCAAAGAAACAGTCTGATATCCTTCTTTGGCATTGTGGATTCGATGCAAGAACAACCACAAGTTTGGTATTCGTGTTACGGGCTGAGAAACAATTTTCGGTTTGAGATTCTTGTTTGGACCAGATCATTAATTTTGTGTTCGATATTCTTGTTTAGAACTGATAATTATTTTTCAGTTTGATATGCTTGTTTGGAACTGATCATTAATTTTGTATTTGATATTCTTGTTTGAAATTGAAAATCAATTTTGTGCTTGTTTGAAACTGAGGAAGGGTCTAGTGTTTAATATTCTTGCTTGAAAATGAAACACAATTTTGAATTCAATATTCCTGTTTGAAACTACGAAACAATTTCGAACTTGACGTTCTTGTTTCGAACTGTGAAACAATTTCGCTTCTTAATTTGTATCTACTTACTCGCAATTACTTTAAACGCATATTTGAACCAAGTGAATTGTACTTCATTATTCCTTAATAATCGTTTTATATAGTCGTAAAACTGAAATACCTTGAAATGGCGATAATTTATAGGAAATTTATTCGAAATCAAACATATTTAAAAACCCATTTACCGAAAATAAAGGCTGTTAAAACCTCCTGAGCGAAGTGTTTGCTATTCATCGAATATTATGATCGCAACTTCGTCGACGCGAGAAGGTCTGCGTAATCCACGAGGCTATGTTGTAAAGCAAGCCTAAAATGACGGCTCGCGGTTTCATCGCATTCGTTTGTAATTATAGCTAATTGTTATTAGTCACGTTATTCCGTCGATCATAAGAGGTATGCATACTAATTCGTTGCGCGGCTTATATAAGTGAAACAAGAGAAATTGTATCATTTTGTTCCTTCAGGCTGGTCGTGCGAGCAGGCAAAACTTTCACTGCGTTTATTATAACGCGCTCGTTACATGCTGTTCTATGTGGCTGACCAGGGACGTTAAATTTATCCTGTTTTTCATTGCTCGCTCACTTCCTTTTGTGAAAGGAACAATATTTCTTTCGACCCGTTGTCTACACCTTGCATTTTTGCCGGCGTGGCGAAAGATATTTGTTTCCGTGAAACAGAGCCACCGAGATTTCGATTTGCTGCGCCATATTGCCCTCGTGGAGGAAACTATTTTATTTCTCATCAGATTCCTGATTTTATTCCTAATTAATTAACCCCATTTAAGAATTTGCAGGATAAAGTAAAATAATTTTCGTTTAATTTTCTTTGGAGTTATTGTATTGTGATTTCTAATTTTTGTTACCTAGCTGTTTTTGCATCATGCGTAGGAAATTTGTACACTATAGTTTTATAAAAATGTTATTGAAAAATTACATGTTTCTCCTTGGTCATATTTTATGCCAATTTTTATTAAACGGCTGATTTTGTATTACCCTGGGCTGCAATCTGTAACCCTCGGAATGAATGACGCGCGAAAAAGTGAATAAATAAATTATAAACGAAGTAATAACGTCAGAGAAATCGGAACTTCAAAGAAAATTTATAAACTTTGTTAAATTTCGCAGAAGATTCTTTCCTTAATGATTACAACGGTTACAAAACACGGTGTGAAAAAATCTTAATTTTCGCACTGTTCCTTATTGAGCACAATTATAAACTGCACCAATGACGCAACGATATTTACGATAAGTTAAAGAAATGACGAAATTCATGATTTTTCGACGATTCACATAGTAACATGAATTTCCAGAATGTCAGCAGCCGAAAACTATTACGCAACGATCGTACTGTTTGTACTTACGTATCCGTCATTCTCGGCGATGGTTCTTCCAAGGCCGCCATCTTCGCCGAATCATATACCGCAAGACCAAGGATTAAGCGACAGAAAAATCTACGAGGGAAAGGCTCTTCAAAGTTATCTACAAAGTTCGAACGTCGAAAGACCGAATACTAACGATTACAGGTATTAATTGTTCTTTGCAATTTTCACCTTATTCTTAATAGCTCTAATTGTTGCTCCTTTTCCTTATAATATGAAACTATCGCGACATCCTTGCTTCTTGAACACGAAGTTTGTTTTGATTACTGTTTTGATTATTAAACTCTTAGTTTTTAAAACAAGAACGTTTTAATTTTTCGATGCTAGTAATTATCCTATTATTAATACTTATTATTTCATCTAATCGATAAGTCACAGCCAAATAAAGTCGTTTAATTAATGAAACTGAAGCTAGATATATTACATTAAAAATGAATTTCAAATCCTAGTTAACAATCAGTGTCAGCCGTATGTGACCTACGTTAGCAAGCATCACAAAACAAACAACTTTTCCGATTTAATCACCGAACCTGATTTTAGTTTCCTAGAGATCGAGCTGCAGAGCAGAGACGACCTGGATCCGGCGAATCTACAGAACATCGTGCACGCGATGCTGAAGCCACCTGAGCAGGTGCAAAACGACAGCTACCCTAACCCAGAAGTGATTCCACACTCGATCTTCGGTGTGCGAGACTTCGGTCTGTCGCCGAGCTTCAAGTTAAAGATGTTCGACGAGGACAAACACGTGCTAATGGAACCGCCGAAGCTTCAGAATTACAACGAGAAGCTTTACTACCTGAAGAACAACAGGCCCAAGGTCTACGTGAACGTGAGAGGTCACAGCGGCTCTTTTCGAAAAGACCCGACCACGAGAACGACTTCCGGCGACGACTCCATGGAATTTCTCCGAGTGACGCCATACCTGCAGAGACAGGTGGACTGGAGGTCGCATACTAACAAGAAGAGTCGGCTACCGAAAAAGTTCGACCGTCGAGTGGATCATGCCAGTCGGAAAAATCTTTCTAGGACCACGGAAAAGAAGAAACTGAGTAGATTAGCGTCGGTCTATGGAGCGGACGATTCCACCACCGAAAACTCTATGGTGACCTCCAGCGAGCTGCCGAAACAGATACCTGCACCACCGTCGAAGGTGCCAAGCAGAAGTCTGATGACGCAGACCACGCCAGTGCAGAGATACTCGTTGCGAAGAACGGACATATTGCCCGGATATAGTTTCCCCGATGCCTGATCCGCAGGACCCGTGAACCACAAGGTTCCATTGTCACGAAAGCCTCAGTTCTATGAGGTTTTGGAGTCAGAGACATGGACAGGAACCGCCTGGGTTCAATCTGTTATAGACACTGACGGATTTGATTTTGAAGGAACTTGGACATTGTCTTCGAGATCTGTTTATGGCGTAGTTTCCTAATGAGAACGCTGTTAGGAAAGTCCAAGGAGTCTTTCAGTTTTCATTTACACAGGGAGTTTCATTTTGTATGAGCTGTGTAGTTATCTTCTAAATTGCTCGTTATAGAAGACAGTAGAACTTTGCTAGCATTTGCTGAAAATTCTGCGCCAATTGCAAGAAAGGAGAGTCAAATAGAGTGAATTCTATTTATATGAATTCCACTTATATGAACTAAATCTTAGTAGTGCCTGGTTAACTACTCCCATTAAATGAATGAATAATCTTTTGTCAGTGGTGGGGGAGACACGTGGACTTAAATCATGTGAACCCGTTCGTCTCCCGTCAGGTTCATATAAATGGGGTAGTTAATAATTTACAAGCTTTCATAAATTCTTCTGATATTTTTACTGTTTATTCTGTTTATTCTACAATGAATAAGTTTATAATTGCATGATTCAAATGGAACACCCTGTATAGTCTAGTTTTTCAAAAGAAGAAACTTGACGTATCCTGATTGTTATAACAATTGGCATAATTTGTGTTAATTCACACTTGCAAAGAAGAAGCGAGCATGTCACAGTTATTTTATTTCTTTTATTTTTAAGTTGATGTTTCCTAGATTTGAAAACGTCACGCACCACTGCACCCAAGACACGTTCATTGTAGAGATTGTTTACTTGAGAAGGTTGATGTACAGAGGAAATTTTGAAAACGGGGCTATGAGCCGGATAAGGTTGGGAAACTATGAACTACAGCGATGTTAGATAACTTACACCAAATAAAATTCGATATAACTCAAAGGATCACGTAAAGGACGTTTGTTGCTGCAACCTGTATGCATTTCGTTCTCTATGCAGTGTTCACTTCGTGTGCATTGAACAAATAGATTCGAATTGCATTTTTTAAATATGTTCTATGCGAGTTTCGATTAAAAGATTGTCTATACTAATTTGTACTCCGAAAAGTATTTGACACACGTCTACTTTTCTTTGATTCATTGATGAATGTTTTTCTTTACAATTCTGTGACCAGAATCACCACTTGAACGAATATTAAATAGTCATCGAGACTTTGCTTCTGTGATTACAGTGTCGTGTCCTTATGTCTAATGCAAATTTTCTACTTAAAGTATTAGCGTTTACTTTAGAAACAGTACAAACGTTTTGTGTGAACGTATTAAACGAATCAACATATTTTTATAATACCAACTCGAATGTAATTTGCAGTTGAATAAATGCGAGTGGTTTTTAATATATTAATTCGTAGCGGTTCTCATAATTCTTATTGAAGATGTTATTGTAATCTTTTATAAAACCAGAATTACATAAGTAAAAAAATGCACTTACCTGTTCAGCTTTCAAGGTGAGCTCTATAAAAATTTGCTGCAGCTTTTCGTTCACGAAATTAATGCAAAATTGCTCGAAGCCATTCTTCTCGAAAATTTCGAAACCATAGATGTCTAAAATTCCAATCTCGAAACCATCTGACGTAGTTTCCATGGCTGCATTAATTTTCTGTAACAAAGTAGCACAGTTTACATTAAAAAATGAAGACATGATTGAAAAGTATATCTATATCGCTATTAAATATATTTAAAAATAATACAATTTCTTTTCAATTGATCTTTGTTTGTATTTCTTATGTTAACAGGTGAAAATTTATATTTTCATTACAAAGAATATGAAATAGAATATGAAAGGATATATTACAATTCATTACTAAATATCTTCATATTTATTTTAAATGTATACTTCAAGAAAATACGACTCTTCAATAATCTTTATATCTTTCATATCAACCGCTAAGCATTTTTTAATTACGGAGAAATTGTTGAAATGTAACTAATACATACTTTAACTAAATAATCGAAGAGCCTGGCGTAAATATCTTTTGCCAACGCATCTCGAGTATAAAGAGCCTGCTCCACATTTAATGTGACATCGACACTCTCAGCCTGACCTCCCCATTTAGATTCAAATTCGCGTGACGTCAATTTGTGAGCCAATTGCTCTGTTGAGATTTGGAACAGGTAAGCTGGGAACTCGAGTACTGAAACAAACAAACAATTTATTATATATTCCCTTAATTTCTGAAATTACTTACACTATTTTACGCTTTAATTTTTGAGATAAAAATGTTGTAGTGGAAGATGAGGACATTTTATTTTTATAAATTGAAGGATATCTGAATTACGTTTATGGAGATTCAATGACAACATTTTCTGCTCTGCAACTAAATGTAATTGTGTTCATACATAAAGCGCGTTTGCAAAGGGGAATTATACAAGAACGTACAGACGCGTTTCGACTTGGAGTGTGCAGAACATTTTAGTTTCCAGTACTCGACCTTCTTCATAATTGTGGTGGAATCAAGACTCGGTCCCACGGTTTCTCATCGACTGACTCATGTCCCGAGAGAAGAATAGGAGGACAAGACGATTGGGAAAGAAATAGAACGAGCAAAATACACACACGTGCGCGAATGAAATGATTAGATTGCGTTTTTTATGCAGTTTCAGCGTACACGACGATGCAAAACCGTCTAAAATAAAGTCACTAATGCTAGAATTGATAAAGAAGGATCGTCTTTTGTGTCGAGTTTATTTCGTTTCACACTTCCCGAGTGAAAATGTATCCATCTTTTGTCTCTAGAGATTGTATAATGCGTGATTTCTTGCTGATTGTGTTGTAATGTAATATGTATTCGTTTGCAGAATGAGATTATGAACACAAAATCTATTGGATTCAATTTTCAAGCAAGAATGATTGAAATATTTATCAATACTCAGAATAATTGTAAATATAAATTTTTGTAAAGAATATTTACAACACAATTTGATGACAGAGAACTTTCTAGAATTTTTATAATTAGGGATACTTACACTGTTTGTCGGCAACCTGTGAATAATTTTCTTTCTCCATGAATTGTATGTTTCCTAAATGAAGAATTCCAGCAACTATTGCAAAGATATCATTCACTTCCGAATCACTTAATCCCATCACACTTAATCCTAAAAAGAGAAAATTGTGACTTTAGTGAAGCATTTTAATCCGCCTATTAGAATTAAATGTTTAATCGGTCTATTACAAATAAACGACTAATCGATCTAATCAAAAGTTAATGTTTGTGTACGAAATTCAAGAACTAAGCAATACCTTTTAACGTTTCTTGAAAATCACGAGCATCCGACACACCCTCAACTCTGTGATTCCCTCCATAGCTGAGATACTGATAGTAATCAAGATCCGTTAATCCTAATTCGGCTGTAAAACAAAGTGAAAAATACCTTGTTAAATCAGGCAGTGTTAAAAAGACTAGTTTATAAAAATATACAAAAGATCCACCAAAGTAATGAAGGAAAGAATGTATCAGAATTGTCTAAACATAATTACCAATTGATATTTACATTTCATTTGTTGGTCCGCGCCTGTGACCAATTGATAGAACACATGGAAGTTTCTCTCGCCATAATTATGACAAACTACCCTTGATTTTTCTAGTAGGAAATTCGAAATTTTTCCTCCGCTTGGCTGCCCGCCTCGGCCGAATTGCATTTGCACGTATTTACCCTAGAAATTGAATATCCTTAAGATATTTTGATTATGTTTTTAACATTAGAACTGCCAAACCGTAAAACTTCTGCTAGAAATATTTTTATAATATTAGGAGTTGTAAAAGAAAAAATTTTGAAACTCACTTTGATTGGTTTGGTAGTCCTAGTACAGTTCATACTAAAATACAACTTACGAATCTGCTACTATTATTGTTGCGCACTGTCTTCGCATTGCCAAATGCTTCTAACAGTGGATTAGACTCTAGAATTACGTCCTTCACTTTTTGCACTCGCTCGCCACCTCCGCTGACTCTTGCAATATACGACATTATGTATTTTGCAGCTACTGTTTTTCCAGCTCCGGATTCTCCACTGTAAGAAACACATATTCTTACACATTTTTGTTATTATATTTTATTTATTATATTCGACCATTTGCTTATTCGACCGTTTCGCATATATTGTAGCTTTTTTTACATAAACATTGAAACGGCAATTTCGTATCTTATCACATGACACAGATAAACTCAACAGTTTTTATCTATTGTAATGTGCAACACAATTGTTATTGTAAATCATTTTTATTGTCTATCATCAACGTCAGAAAGATAAAATGAATGTGCGGATAGAATAGGTTGTAATACCTGATGATAACACACTGGCTTTCGTTATCAATCAACATATTTCTGTACATCTCATCTGCCAATCCATATACGTGAGGAGGATTCTCATATGGTGCCTAAAATAAAAACAGAATATAAATAACATATAATTTAAATAGAATATAGATAATATATAATTTAAATAAAATATATAATTTGATCGCTATGAAATAGCAGATTGTTTAAACTCACTGCGCCTTGGTAAATTTCGATCTCCCTCTCCCCGAAGTAAGGCATCTGCTTGAAAGGATTAATTGACACTAGCACGGGACCGATACATGTCTGTTGCTCATTAAGGAAATTAACTTTGCACATCCATCATTTCTATACGTTTCAACACTAAGCATACTGAGCCCTGAAGCAACTAACGTGAGTTGCTTTATAACTAGACTGCGGATATTTATGCAAAATCAAACTTTTCCGAGACGATTATACGAAATAGGAATTAAATACAAATAAACTGTTTCTTCTAATAATTTGAATAAGTTGCAAATAGTGTAACAATATTATTAAATTGTTTTTATGTCTCCTCAATTTTATATTTCAGCTATCCATTTTTGACATAAATGCATCAAATCCGCAGTCCATTTATAACGATGAGAAAATTGTATTTAGTTTAATCTTCCACTATTTTTATTATAATATATGTTTGGATTAAGAAATTTATACAATCATTTTTCTCCGCTCGGTTGCCCGCCTCGGCCGAATTGCATTTGCGCGCGTATCTGCCCTAGAAATTGTATATACTTCAAACATTTTGATTATTTACTTAACATTAAAACTACCAAGCCGTAATACTTCTTTCAACAATTTTAAAAGAAACATCGTGAAACTGGTCATTTGGACCGACTCGGTACGTTTAGTGTTAAAACTACACAAAAAGAGTGATGCATTCAAGTTGTTTCTAGAATTTTTAAACTAAACGCTTTCACGAGTAGTACTCTATAGATGTATAATAATGAAAATTAAAGAAAATTAATGAAAGACGTAGCTCCGGGTCTAATCGATACCATCTAATATCGTGATGTCTTACGAATGTTCTGGGCTCGAAGGAAAGAAACCTTTTAAGATAACGAATTCAGATCAGTGGTCTTGAAAATGTAGCTACACTCATGGGTCTTATTTATTTATTCAGTTATTTTCTTCATGCGGAAAGCTTGCGTTAAAATTTTCTTACCTTTATGCTACCGTATTTCAAGTGTTTCATACAGTTTCGAATAATATTTGAATGTCTGAAGTCGCCGTTGCTTCTGATTTTAGACGTGTCAATAAAAAAGGATACGAATATGTAATCGTCCATGTATCTTTTCCGCAGGTTGTCGATAATGGCTTCCTCCGATATTTTCGGAAGAAGAACCATGTCGTCCACGCCGGAAACTTTGACATTTTGACTCTGCCAATGATAAACCTGAAACAAAAATTAATAACATAATAAATGTACGATGAATGTGCATATTGTTATATATCATATCTTAAGAACATATTTTAATTTCTCTTCACGTCATAAAATTTGAGGTACTATAATTATTTTACTTTCACGTATAATGTTCTTCGAATTTAAACGTGTATAATGTTGTTCTTCAATTGAATTGCAGCTATGCAGCAGGTGCCATAAAAGTGTGCAGCTCATGCAGATCCACAGTCGAGCCGAACGAATTAAAATACATCTCTATACATTTCTACGTGCACAATTAGGTTCAGACAGGTTTTTTAAAACACCGAACTTTAAGTGCTTCAAATACCGCAATTGTAATATATTATCAACTCTTTATTTAATACAAATGGCAATGAAGCACAGAAAGTCACATAAATCCAATTATGTCTTCCGTGTCGCTGATCTGCAATGCATTCTCCATTCGATACGTTCAAGACTATCGACCGTAAACCGTGCTACAATACGAATGTGTGCGGATACAAAAACGTGAATCTGTTTAGGACTTTGACGGCGAGGCTCAGATCCATTTAGATTCAAGTATATAAATACCTAAAATTAATTCATTATATTAGGAGGATCGGAAAGTTATGTCGTTTGTTTACATTTAATTCAAACAGATAAATATGCGCAGAAACGACATTACTTTCCGGTCCCCCTATACATCAAATATAAAAAAATGCATATAAATGTATTATAATATATCATTACGCATTAACTCAAAACTTTAAACTAATTTGGGAAATAAATTGAGATTAAAAAATTGAGAAATAATAGGAATAATAAAGCATATTCTGTTATATTCTTGTTAAAATGCCGTTCAAGTGCTAAAAATCTGCAACCTACACACACGGATTATGTCTATCGTAACTGCAAAACCCGACTGATATAAATAAACAATCCAGACGAAATATTAATTACCCCGTTGTCTGTCAACGGTCAAACTTGTGCAATAAGCATACAAGTTATGTAAAATTTTCAAAATGGATCGCTTTGTCGACTGATTGTTGGCGTTGCGGCCTACGATATCAACACTGTTGTCGCCGAAAGTCAAATCGGTGTTGATATTGTGAACATTGTCGCAGCATTATGAGTCGGAATGCTGTGACTGTGCGATTCTTAGTTTCCAACGATGACAAGCTCGTAGTGTCATTCAATGTCACGGCAATAAAGCCGGTAACATCAATTCTGTGGATGAAGATCTTACAGGACCATCTATATACATACACGAATTACTGAGAGTCATATCTGGAGTGCAGATTTTATGCATTTATGGCAAAACTGAATCAGTGAACATTTTTACTCCTTACGATTTAATAATTTGTGTATTGCATAATGATTCGCAGATTAGAGATAGCGATAAAATAAAGCGAGGCATCGTATGCTTATTGACACTGGATGAGGATATTTATAAGGCAGTAAAATTTAATGGAAGTGCTACTTTATACGTTGAAGTGTTTTTGAAGATAGCGATTGCTTTTTCTTTGTCAAAAAATGTCATGGACATTCTGAAGCATTTAACTTATAAGAAATACATGTTTATGTCTCTAAATATGCATTTGAAACATATTCAATATTAATTTGTCTCCAATCAATTATTTCAAATAACATAGTTCGTAACTTCTCATATTTTATGCATTCACTTTAAACATAAATATTACGCTCACAATCTAGTAACAATTCAATTTGGTAAATATGAATATTGCAAATAATGTCTGATACATTTTATTTAGCAAAATGTTAATATCCGGTAGCATATTTCGCTAAAAATTATTTTAAACATCAGTATTTCCAAACATCAAATGACAAAATTCTATTGAAACGTTGAGTATCATTTGGTTTACTTTGTCCATAGAAACACTTAGTAACACAAAAAGAAAATGCATTCAACTTAAAAAGTATTGCGAACACGGTAAATTGCGAAAAGTCAACTGTACTTATCGTTTGCGTTAGAACCGTAGCAGATAAGAATATGCACACTATACCCATCCTCGCAGTGTACACACAGGTGTAAGTCGCGCTGTAGTATAGTGTTCTCGTTAACAAGCGACTCAGGCTCCGTTTCCTACAATCCTGATATTAGCTATCGTGCAGACGAACCGGGTTCACTGCTTAACAATGATTATGGCGTTTAATAGAATGATGTAAATGGATCTACGCCCACTCGCGTCGTTGTCGGAATGCTTAACGGGGACTAAAAAGCTCCGGTAACCATAATGCAGGATGTACATACGTGTAATGCATCACGGTCAATAGCGGCAATCATTTCTCTCAAGGCGCCTTCCTTCGAGTTCGGTTTATCGAGCTCAAGGCAGCAAGAGAACGACGACACAACGAAGACTCGATGCAAATTCGGTCTCAAGGTGTACAGCCACTGTTATAGCTCAGGAACACAATTTCTCTCTCTCTCTCTCTCTCTCTCTCTTCCCCTTTCTCTTACAGAAGAGAAATTTTTTTGAATAAATACAATTTTTTCTCTTCCTTTCTCTGAAGAGAGAATTATAAATTTGAATTATAATAGATTTTTAATATAAAATTAAATTGTAATGATTTTGTATTATTAATTAGAATCATAATAGATGATGAACAAAAATTTAGATCCCAAATAATAACTAATTAATAAACTACTTTTACGTTCATTGCTTTGAGAAAATGATTTTGTGGAAAAATGATGTTCTCATTATCAAGAAAGAAAGAAAGAAGGAGAGAGCGTGGTTTCTCGGCAAGCTGAACGAACTATAACTCCAGTTATGGAATCGCAATACAAACATTTTTTCATCGCCCTTTCACTCGCGCTACGCACACGTGAAATTTTCGCTGGAACGTCCTAAAACCTCGTAGGCTGTGAAAACTGTGCCGTGAGCGGAGTAGAAAATCTTCTATAACAGAATTATGTTGCTTCGTCACAGCTCAATGTTTTAACGTTTAATAAAGGCGAGTCTGAGCCGACTTTAACTATTCCAAAGTGCGTTTCCGATTTCAAAGAGGGATAGGCAAAATCTTTTTTCAGTTAATTAGATCATTTCAATCAGATTGCATCTAAAAATGTTAACAAGAAACAAGTTAACACAAGTTGGATAACACGTCTGACACCTGTGTGGAAGCGCTAACTCGTAAAAATTGATCGAAGCAATTCATTACAATGGTGTTTGTGTTGATCTGTATGATCCGGATCTCTTGTCAGCGATTTGCAGAGCTAATTTTTGCAAATTTAATGCACCGCGTCGCGTGTTTTCTGCATAATTGCAATTACAAGCGGATTCCCCGTTACCGCTTGTATACCATTAGACAGGAATTTATCTGCGCTAATTGTATCAGTTGAAATTAATTTAACCGGTGACCTGCTTATTTCGATCGTGTTAATATTAGTTTTGAATGCCTTAAGTGTTTCTGTGTATGCTCTAATTGGAATTCTCATTAAGGCGAAAGATAGTCGATACTGTGTTAATCGGATAGCTGTGAATCAACTACCTTGACCACGAATAATTTGGCAATAACAATTTACCTGCATGGTAAATTCTGATTATTTTTAAACTATATTAATATTTTTATAAATATGGACAATACCGTTGCTCGTACGAGGCCGTAATATTTTGTAAAGTTGAAAGACAAGTTATCGTTTGTTTAGTTCAAGTAGAAACGGCGAACGATAGACACAGACACGTTTGATACTTACAGCTTGCACATCGCGGTCATTTGAAAAATATGAAATTTTCCAAATCAATGCTCTGCATAAAATACACGTCATATATTTTTTAAATATTTTATAACCCTAATTTTCCCCAAATATTACAATTCTTTTATTTTAATACCATCAGAGAAATCACGATGCCATAACTTCAAAGAACACGCGAGCGTGTTTGTATTTTTTTTTTAAATTGGAGTTTCCATTTTCTTCTGTATTATTTCTATAATCGCCATTTTGAAAAATAATATTTTACACCTTGTATTTACATAAAACAATATCTCCTAAAATTCTTCAGTAAAATTATATCATTTTAAATGGTAGAAACAGTGACTCCATGAAGTATGACTTTCTGACCGAAAAGATTTCGAATGTCAGCCTTTTTTTCGTTAAATTATGCAACGCTGATTGTCATCACTTTTGCAATTGTTACGCGTCTGAGCACTGAGAAAGTATCGTTAAATAATAAGATTGGCTCCACTTTCCGATCATTTCGTGCTACACCGCGTTCAAACTGTCTATTACACGTTCCTTTGTTTCCCGCAAACGGGAAGTGATTCATTTTTCCTCGGTTCAATGACAAGACAAAATAAAGACGTTTATTACCATTTCAACACAAGTGCTTCTGTGAATTTCGTTTTACTGCAATAGTGACAATGGTTAGAACTGATTGCGTATCATAATCTGCATGTTGTACACTGGTTACATTGTAATTGACAATAACGAAGAAATAAAAATATTTGCATGTGTCACTGAATTATATCATTTATCAATTAACAACGCAATGTCTGCAACATGTAACACAGACAAAAATAATATTTTCTTCAGGTATTCTATAATAGTCTTAAGAAAGACTTTTACCTATTAATTATTTTATTAGGATTGTTATTGTAAGTTATTATAATACAGATACTCACTGATAATAAACGATATTACAATTAATTGTAACAACAGCTTAAAGAGGATCAAACAATGAAACGTTATACGTTGTTACATATGAATGCACACGCAACAAAATTAGTCATGAGATAATGATGACTCCATTGCGGTAGCTACCTAATTTCCTTTTTGTACTTCCTTAAATGTAGAAAAGTGAATTTACGCGAATTAATCTACTAGGAATGGTTTTTGCAGAAATAATCATCGTTTGCAGATGACTAATCCACGTTAGTCAATAGAAGGCATTCCCAAGTCACATCGTTAACGGTATTTTATTTGGAGTTGATACACTGGCAATGAGACTATATGAAATAAAATGATTGATGGAGGTGTAAACTGTACTTTCACTTTCGAATGCAATTTCTTTGAAATCGAGCTCAAAATCGAAAGCAGATAACGAGAAACGATGCCATATTTTTAGTCCTACATTTTTCACGAGCTTCATCACTTATAAATATACACGCTTCGCCAGGATTTTCCAACGAAACTACGTCAGTAAATTCTTCGAACAGAAGCATAGAGAAAATATTATGTAAACGCATAACCTTGCATCACACGATTTTTATCCTGATTTGAAGATAATATTTTTTCTAATATTTAATTTGTCGTTAATTTATATTAATGAATGTAATCATTTATTTTCGACTTTCTTTAGTTCGTCTGCAGTCTCATTGGTACCGTAAATTTCTCTGCAAAAAATTCGAATCGATAAAGTGAAATAAAATTATTTTCTTAGACTAATGCCCTCAAAAACGTAACAAAATTGTAAAGAGGTACGGAATTCTAATGGACCTCTGTTTCTTTTTATTTGAAGGTCGTTAAACTGTCACCTCATTAACATATATTTCAAGGTAAAGATTCTAGTAACATAATCTGATGTTCGCAACATGTGCATCGAACTTTTTATCATTATAAAAATGAATCTTGTTGGTTACTTCGGCTTTCTAAGAGAAAACTCAGTTAATCGAAGATATCAACAAAGAAAGTTACTTTCTACGCTTTTGTAATATACTGATCGATTATACATTTCGCTAAATTTATTCGTTGTCACCAGTTGCATTAAAATTACTGACTGGAGTATTTAGGGATCATTGGAAGAAATATTCCCTATTGAGAAAAATAATATTAATATTTTATAGATATACTTTTCGTCAATTCATAATACAGCTATAATTTGTTATTATTACAATTAGTGCAAAGTTACTATAAGTAATTCAAGAGCTATAGTATAATGCTAAAATGTTCCTTATCAATAACTGATAC